AGTGGTAGTAGTGCGGTGATATTGATAAAATTTTAGTTCAAAAAACGTTTTTCACCTTTTAAAAGTGAAAATTGTATTTTTGCCCAAATATGCTTGTTTTCCATTGATCATGGAAAATATTTTTTTGTAGATTTTCATTTTTTCATTATACCATACATGAGAAAATATGAAAAATATTTTTTGCCAAAACAAACAAGGCGTAGAGATGTACGATTTACTGACTCATATGTTATTTTATTTTTAGTTAGTGATTTATTTTTAAAAAATTAAAATACTACTAGAATTTGGACACAATAACAAAACGCATAAATTCCACTGTCAGGACTCGAAATATAGCCATTCTTGTGTGATTAAACAGGAAAACAATTCCAATGGCAGCAATTTTTTTTTTTTCCTTTTGTTTTAAGGTTTTGATCATCCTATCCAAATATATCATCATTAACATTTCCAATTAATAATTAGGAGTGGTTTCTATGTTAATAGTCAATAGTCACAGTGGGCAATGTCATTTATAATAGGAGGAAAAAAACTTATAACAGGGAAGTAAAAGTGAAATGGTAGGCTTGCTTTCCCAATTCCAATGGCAGAAAAAAAAAATTTCCCCTTTTGTTATAACATCATAAAGACTATTTGAAGGAGTCGATTTCAAGGGCTTCGGGTTGAAGGAGTCGATTTCAAGGGCTTCAGGTTTCTCACTTTCTCTTGAAAAACTTGTATTCTCTCTTGAATCAGGTAGAGTCTTGAATTAGGGCCCAAGTACATGTGCATATATATTTTGACGGTAAATTTGCAAACTGAATTTTTTAGCTTTTCTTTTTTATTTGTATGAAAAATGTGTAAAAAAATAAAGAGAATAAATTGACTTTTTGTATTGTCTATTTAACTTTTGGGTTTTGCTAACAAGTGTCTTACGAAAAAAAAACTATCACAGATCCGCTACATATCCTATGTGGTATATTTTTATAATTCTATTGGTTATCTATTTACTCTTTTTTATTTTTTCTCCTATATAAATATATATATATTAAATAAAACAACTAAGAGAATTGAAAGAGTATGCAATCTAATTGAAATTTTGAAAAGACAGGATCCTCTCCTTGCAACTCCGCCTTGCAATCTTCCTTGCAACGGCTGAGATTAGCCGTTTCAACATCCAACGGCCATAAAAAATAAATAAATAAAATAAAGAAATTGAAATCAGCCGTTGGATGTTGCAACGGCTGATCTCAGTCGTTGCAAAAAGGATTGTAAGGAGGGGATCCCAACTCGGGGAGGGGGGCGCGTACAAAAAAATAATTTTAAAAAATAAAATCTGGAGACAAACGGCGGGTCGAGGTGCACGGAGGGCTACACATCACCCAGCCCAAACCCGCTAGCATGTAAAATCTTGGCCCGCACCCGTCCGCCAGGTGCCACGCATTCACCCATTTGATGTCGAGTCGGGTCGGCCAGATTTAGCAGGCCGGTGGATCCGCTGACCAGCGCTAATTATAGATGTGCAATTACTCTTCAAATTCTAGGGTTTCCTCAAGTGGGGTCTCTGAATTTTGAGTGCAAAATCTTCCCTACATTTCTAGCATAGCATTCTATGTTGTTTCTCAATTTTATAAGGTTTCTCAAATGGGTCATTGAATTTTGTTTATAATCCTTCTAGATCTATGTAATACAAAAATTCCTAAAAATTTTGGGTTTTTGGAGCATCTACATTGGGCCGCCAAAAGAGCTGCCATTGCCAACAAAAACTTTCCCAAACAAAAAATAATATTTTTTAACAAAATTCACAACAAAAAAAAAAAGACTGAAAACAACAATTACCAAGCAATTTCAAATAAATTTCAAGCAATCTCAAGTAATTTGAAGCAAATTTTAAGCGATTCTCCATCATGAGAAACATGATTTTAGAGAAATAAAAACTTGGATTTGAAGATGCGTGATGGATTTTCAGACGATTTGAGCAATCTAAAGCTTCGTCTTGTTCATCTGCTTGCTTCGTATTAGGGTTCATATGTGGGGTTTAGGGGGTTTCGACTTCATCTGATTTGTCTTAGGGTTTGTTTGTGCTTCGTCTTCATGTTTCCCATCATAAAGACGATTTGAAAGAGTCGATTTCAAGGGCTTCGGCTTTCTCGCTTTCTCTTGAAAAACTCGTGTTCTCTCTTAAGCTCAGGTAGAGTCTTGAATTAGGGCCCAAGTACATGTGCATATATATTTTGAGGGTAAATTTGCAAACTCAATTTTTTAGCTTTTCTTTTTTATTTTTATGAAAAATGTGTAAAAAAATAAAGAGAATAAATTGACTTTTTGTATTGTCTTTTTAACTTTTGGGTTTTGCTAGCAAGTGTTTTACGGAAAAAAAACTATCACAGGTCCGCAACATATCCTATGTGGTATATTTTTATAATTCTATTGGTTATCTATCTACTCTTTTTTATTTTTTCTCCTATATATATATATATATATTAAATAAAACAACTAATAGAATTGAAAGGGTATACAATCTAATTGAAATTTCGAATTGACAGGATCCTCTCTTTGCAGCTCCCTCCTTGCAACAGCTGAGATTAGCCGTTGCAAATCCAACGGCCATAAAAAATAAATAAATAAAATAAAGAAATTGAAATCAGCCATTGGATGTTGCAATGGCTGAACTCAGCCGTTGTAAGGAGGATTGCAAGAAGGGGATCCCAACTTAGGGGGGGCGTACAAAAAAATAATTTTAAAAAACAAAATCTGGGAACAAACGGCGGGGCAGGGTGCACGGCAGGCCACCCGTCATCCGGCCCAAACCCGCCAGCATGTAAAATCTTGTCCTGCACCCGTCTGCCAAGTGTGCCACGTATTCACCCATTTGATGCCGAGTCGGGTTGGCCAGATTTGGCGGGCCGATGGATCCGCTGACCAGTGCTAATTATAGATGTGCAATTACTCTTCAAATTCTTGGGTTTCCTCAAGTGGGGTCTCTGAATTTTGAGTGCAAACTCTTCTCTACAGTTCTAGAAATCTATGTTATTCCTCAATTTTATAAGGTTTCTCAAATGGGTCATTGAATTTTGTTTATAATCCTTCTAGATCTATGTGATACAATAATTCCTAAAAATTTAGGGTTTTTAGAGCATCCACATTGGGCTGCCAAAGGAGCTACCATTGCCAACAAAAACTTTCCCAAACAAAAAATAATATTTTTTAACAAAATTCACCCAAAAAAAAAAAAGACTGAAAACAACAATTACCAAGCAATTTCAAATAAATTTCAAACAAATTTTAAGCGATTTTCCATCATCAGAAATATGATTTTAGAGAAATAAAAACTTGGATTTGAAGATGCATGATGGATTTTCAGACGATTTGAGCAATCTGAAGCTTCGTTTTGTTCATCTGCTTGCTTCGTATTAGGGTTCGTGTGTGGGGTTTAGGGGTTTCGACTTCATCTGATTCGTCTTAGGGTTTGTTTATGCTTCGTTTTCATGTTCCCTATCATAAAGACGATTTGAAATAGTCGATTTCAAGGGCTTCGGGTTTCTCGCTTTCTCTTGATAAACTTGTGTTCTCTCTTGAGCTCTGGTAGAGCCTTGAATTAGGGCCCAAGTACATGTGCATATATATTTTGAGGGTAAATTTGCAAACTGAATTTTTTAGCTTTTTTTATTTATTTTTATGAAAAATGTATAAAAAAATAAAGAGAATAAATTGACTTTTTTTATTGTCTATTTAACTTTTGGGTTTTGCTAACAAGTGTCTTACGAAAAAAAAATTGTCACAGGTCCGCCACATATCCTATGTGCTATATTTTTATAATTCTCTTTGCTTGATTATCATTTTTCAAAAATACTTTTCATAAAATTCTACTTTCTTGTTTTCCGTATTTTTTTGTTTTTACTGAATTTTTTTAATATCTTAAGTAATTTTTTTAATTTTTAGACATATCTAACATAAATATACCTAAAAAGTAAAAAAAATTGTGAAAAAAACCTTTTAAATATTCACTAAATACCAAAATTACAAAAAAATATAAAAATTCAGTACATTTTTTTATTTTTATGTATTTATTAATTTTTTTAAATATATTTCACAAAGTTTTTACTTTTTAGATACATCTAAGTAAGGTGCATCTAAAAAATTAAAAAAAAAAATGTTTAAAATTTTAAAAATATTCACTAAAAATAAAAAAATACGAAAAATCAAAAAAATTAATTTTTAAAAAACTTAATCCAAAAAACTCAAACCAAATACAATGATTGATTTTCTTTCTAGTCTTTTTCATTTTTCTCCTATATATATATATATATATATATTAAATAAGATAACTAAATAGAATTGAAAGGTATATAATCTAATTGAAATTTCGAAAAGACAGGATAACTCGTTGCTGTAGGACACAAGAAAAAGACAACAAATGCAGAATTCAATACACTTTTCATAAGTTTTATAACAATTTTTTCTACTTGCTTTGAACCATTTTTTTTTTAATTTTTTTTATTATTTTCAAAATATTTTTTATCATCACATCACAATGCACAGTCAACACTTGTTAATATTTGCCCCAACTTTTTAACTTATTCTCAAATACCTTAAAACCAACTATGTTAGCAAGCCCAAACTAAATTATCTCAAAAATTTATGAGAAAAATACAGTGCAGTGAATCACTGTTATACACTTTTAATCAAGTGGCTGAATGGTTATTCTTTGTCAAAAATAAATTTTATTTTTTTTTATTATGAAATTTGTTTTCATCCATTAGGAGTGTCCTGTTAGATTGTTTAGTTTAGTGCAACTATCTTTGATATTTGTAAAAATGTAACATCCCCCTATCAACCAATAAAAATTAGAAAAAGGCAGTTTTTATTATTTTTCTAGCCCAACTAAAAAATAAAATACAAAACTACTTTGGTGTAATTGTGTTTGATATTTGTAAAATTATTATAATATTCTCTTACAGATTGATTTAAAAAAAAAAAAAAACCAATTATTATTATTTTTCTAACCCAACCAAAAAAGAAAAAAACAAAATAATCACTTTATGGAGTCAACAAAATACAAATCACCATAATTCAGCTAGGAGAAAGACTCATATCATACAAGAAATACATACAATCTGCTACATTGGCTTAACAAGCTATGCTGCACAAAATTGAGAATGACATTTATTTATTTAACAAGGTTAATATTGCCACAACCTGATCCTACAAGAAATACATACACCCAGATCACTAGAATGGAGAATGTTTTCTTTTCATCTGGTAATTCTCTCGAGTTGTACCAGCTGTAGCAGCATTTTTATATATCCTTGAACTCGGTATACTTCAGAGCATGCCGCTTGAGAATTGTCAGTCTTCTCAACTATAAATGTTGACATAGAAACACAGATATTGATGTTAGATGTTAGCCCAGCGACCATAAAATGGAAAATTTTCCCCATTTTTTGTTTGGTTGTAGTGCAGAGTAAAGGGGAATACTTACTACATGGCAACTTAGAAGCCCTACTCGACATTTCAACATGATAGCACATTGTTCTCGTTCTTCGCTACATTTCCTGCGGCAATTCCTACAGTTTTGGTATTGACATCATATGATGACAAGCCCTTTCTCTGCACCGCCCAATGAAATCATCTACATGTCAAAACTGCAGAATTTATTTAAGAGGTTTCATAAATTTTTAAGAATGTGATTGCGGACAAAATAAAGTAAAATGGCATATATTGAAATCCTCTATTTGGTTCCTGTTTAATTATATGGTATCTTCACTCACTTGCAAGCCAATCTTCTTTTCTTTTCTTTTCTTTTTTCTCACACCAATTCTTTACATATTTGGTGTCCTGTATATAATTACATTTGCACAAAATTGTCTTAAATGCCAACATCATGAGAAGAAACTAGTAGGCCTGCAAATGACCAGGGCATAAGTTTGTTCCGACTTGACTCATCCAAAATGCAAGTTCACAGCAAGCTACACTTTATAGAAGAGTAATGAACAAAATATTAACATAAATGTATTGTGACTCTGCCAAGTCCAAAAAAATATGGGCATTATAGACAGAACATGACAATATGTATTCATCACCATAAATAAAGAGCTGTGTCAAATGAAGTATCCATCATAGTATTGAAGAAAAAGAAAACTTACAATGGGCTCGAAATCAGGACTAGACAAGTTGATGGTGAGGTTCCTCATCAGCAAAAAAACCTACACATCCAGGGAACCAAGAAATCAAGACTTTCACTTGCCAATAAATTATCCATCTAATAGAATGTAGAACATTACATTGACCCAGCCAGCAACATGATATTTGAACATTACATTGACAAGAAGATTAGGATTTCATGTTGAAGATAGACAGAGTTTATCAGGCGATTTTGTGCAAATGCAGGCAACAAGAGTGAGTGCATGCCACCAAAACTTACTAAATAGCTCCACAACATTCAATCTCATGTAAATTTAGATGTCATTGCTAATTACCAACACTCTCTTCTTCCACATTGAATTTTGGTTTTCCAGTGCAAAGGCAAAAGTATTTTTACAGAATCTCATTGAGCTGTTCTCAATACTAATGTCTTGCCTGACAGTGGGAGGGGGGAAAGGCATCAAATCATGACCATGCCAAGGTATTACAAATTGGCACAAGTCACTATGTTAAAGCTCTTATAGCTTAGGTTAATCTTTATAAGAACCAAGGGCTAGTAGCATAGAACCAGGATATGTTTCAACACGCTATAAGATATCCATCAGGGGCCACTGGAACTGCCCACAAGGGAGGGGGGGTGGGTGCGATAAAGAGGAGCGAGAACAAGGCCAAGCGGAATCGAGGGATCATGTAATGCTACCATTCAATCATTTTAGCAACACTATTTTCAACAAACTGTCCCTTTACAGCCCAAAATCCTATGTCACAATATTGCTAGTAGTTTAAAATATATTTCGCCACATTCGGCAAGGGGGGAAACAACACAATAATCCAAACTGCATATCTCCATTTCATGAAACACCAAGAGCTAGGTCCTCTTCAAAACCCCCTCTCCTCATAGATACATCAGTTATGTTCTTATCAACTGCATATAAGATATTTGTGAGCCAACAGTCACTTATGTAGAGGTTCCATCACCAATTACTCGTAATTTAATATATATAAAAATAAAAATAAAAAGTTTTAAACACACATCATATCACTAAGAGGCATCTTGTGCTTGAAAAGTAGACAATAGAAACTGGTAAATTTTCAACTAACTCACAGTTTCAAAGTTAATAGGATCCATCCCCTTGAGCTTCTGCATGTGACCTTTAGTGTCTGGATCAAAGACACTTCCAATAAAGGTATAGACTTCAGCAAAATCTGGTACACCTGCAAAACGATTTTTAAAATTGAAAAACAAAAGTCTATGAGAGGAACAACAAATGAGATTTCTATTCATGAATTTCAAGTATTTGTTGAATAAGTAAATGCATCTGACCCTTTGCTTCAACCAAATATGGAACAGGTATGTGCATGCCTGCTAGCCACTTCAAAATAATGAAATATTGTGAAAAAGTAACTTCTGAATATGCAACCAAACCAAGTCCATGTAACATAATATGGTGAGGAAGGAGAAATTCATAATTGTTTTAGAAATGAAAAATATAATTGCTTCACAACCTTTTTAGGTTTTTATCAGCCCTCACGATTGAAATTTAGGTAGGTTGTTAAGGGGAATAGTGATTAATCACGTGCGCCCCAAGTAGCTGAATGGTGATTAATGACATGCACTGTATCACAAATCGTGTGCATTCAAGTCCAAATAAGCACCCAATGAGTATGATATGTTTTAGATGACCTCTTGGGGATTGAATGGCTTCCCACTATAATCCAGGATGATTGGTCATTGAGAACTGAAAATCTCACGGCAAACCCTAAAACCGTGCCTTGCTGAATCAAAAGTGCTTTATGACACATGCTGCATTACAAAAATACAAATAGGCCAAGTACAATAGAAGTGTAATAACATGCAAATCAGATATCAAGTATCTAAGGTGCAAAACATAGGACAGAATATGAAGAGAGTAAGCTGTGCCACCTACAGCTGTAAGCCTAAAACTTGACCATGATTGGCTATTTTAAACCATCATCAAATTAGAAAGAAAGATACAATCAAGGAGATTACCATGAAGCAAAGAATCTTGTTTCCCTTGCTTCAGTAACTCAGAACTTGGTGGTGTTCTACTTGAGCTTCCAATTGCACCAATACTGCTGTTACTAATCCTTGGGACCCCCTTCGATCTAATATCAACTGAATCAGTAATGTTGTATGCCATAATAAGTGCGAGAAAGTTCCCTTAAATAAGGAACACTATAAATATCTATGAACAAGTAAAAAATATAAAAATAAAAACTCAAGCATGCCTTCAACTCTGTGAAGATTGTATTCATCTTGGGATCGCATGATTCCACCCAAAGGAGTGTGTATAAGCATCGAAGTGTCATCCCATGGAGAATATCCAGGTGCAAGTAAATTCAATGAAGAAGGATTAGCCATGGAAGCTTGCAATGGCACTAAAACTACCAAAAATTTAAAAGTAATAGCATGTCAGGATAACGAAAAAAGGTTTAAATGAAGTCTTCCAAATGTATTTTCATTGTCATCATGGGACAAACCATTTTTCGGTGCCTTTTGTGGGTAAGGATGAGACGCTTTGCACTTTGGGCGAGGTGGAGGCACATGTGCTATTGTCCCATTTTTTTGAACCTTCAAAAAGTATTTCTAGGCATGACTCCAGATCTACAAATGAAATTATTTAGCAAAGTAACACAAAGAGCATGTACTGAACATTGTGCAGATGTTCAAATTGGAATTATCTAAAAAAAAAAAAAAAAAAAATTTGAACCTTCAAAAAGTATTTCTGGGCATGACTCCGGATCTACAAATGAAATTATTTAGCAAAGTAACACAAAGAGCATGTACTGAACATTGTTCAGATGTTCAAATTGGAATTATCTATAAAAAGAAAAAAAGAAGCTAACACAAAGAAACAAGTGGTTGTGCCAGCTATGATGAAGAACAAAATACAACAGTAAAAACAATAAATCCAACCACAAAAAAGTAGAAAAAAAATGATGCTATTTTTTTAGGGTAAAGAAGTTTTAGGGATTTGACCAGTTCAACAAATCAAATGGTCCAAAAGCAGTTTCAAATCATTTGGTCATGTTGATTCTTAGACTAAAAATTTCAACCTAGGAACCATCTAGTTGTGGGAAAGGAACTCTGTCAATGTGTCAAGAAGAGTGCTAAAGTACTCTCAACCAAACAACATAGGATGGTGGCAACTATACTTCATTTTCTAGAAGTCTCATGCAATGCTAGGCTACCACAGCTTGCTGGTCCTTTCCATCTGAAGCAATTTATTATCCAAAAAGGGCAGGAAACACCTTAGCTACACCAGGGGCAACATGCAAGGGTACTCAAGGGTTCCTTAACCGGCCTTCTTTTTTGATCTTTTTAAATGAGATGATTATCTCAAGTTTTCCTCTTCGTTTTCATTTATACCTCCTTTATACAGGATCTGGGCCTTCAAGCCTTGCTATCCAAGTAAGGGCAAGCGCAGGGAAGCATGGTGTGGGGAATAAGAAACAGAAGAAGAGAGCAGAACTAATATTCATTTAGAAAACTTGGTAGTACAAGAAATAACTAAATTACAAACTGTCACATTACATTAAAGCACAAAAATGAACTAATGCTAGTGTAAGAAAATGCCAAGTGCCAATTTGGAAGTCCCAAAAAATATATATTTTAAATCAAATTGAAGTAAAAGCTGATGCCAGTTAGACATACTATTCTATTGAATTTAACCCATTACCCAACCTCCCCAAAAAATAAAAAATAAATAAAAAGAATTGATTCCAAAACATTTCTAAGAGTCATGAGCTTCATCAATATTCTGATAAATGAGATCCAAACAGTTTTTATACTGACTGATTGGATGATCAACAAATACAAATCAAATCAACTCTCTAATAAGCACGGGAACAGATGCCGAATATGGTGACTTTCAAAAAAAAATTGGATAGGAGTTTAACATGAAAACCTCACCCAAATTATAATTTAAACATTATGACATACAAAATTCTATTTCATGAATCATAAACCATTGTATCACAAATGCCAAAAGCATTGAAGTTCAATAATGACTAGATCATCCATAATAATAATAAAATAAAATAAAAATTAAAAAAAAAACAAACATAAATCACAAGTCAAAGAAGATACCATTCAAATAAATCACAAGTCAAAGGATTGTGTTGATCGATTTCTCGACAAGGGCAGTGTCGGTTTTGGGGAGAGTTTCGACGTCGGTGGAGGTGCGGACGAGGCGGAGGGAGTTGAGGCGCTGCCGTGAGGTGGTTGGGGAGCGGATGGGGTGGGAGGAGGGAGTGGAAGGGGTGGATTTGAGGCCGGAATGAGGGAGCGAGAGAGAAAGGGAGGGTGGGTTACTAATTTGATAGAATGATAGAAATGTAATAAAAAAATTTAGAAAAAATATGTGTATTGAGTTAATCAAATGTGTGGAAATAGAATTTTTCAAGCTTTTGGCTTTTTTTAGCCAAATGATTTGGGAAGTTGATAAAAAATTGCTTTTGGCTTTTTTTATTAATATTTGTTGATGATGTCAAATCATAATAAAATGACCAAACTACCCCTATTTAGTTTAAAATATTTACAATTTCACTCATGTGACACATTTTGACTCATGAGGGGTAAAATTGTAATTTCATCATTGGCTAATAACCAATTTCCCAAATGAAAAAAAATACAAAAAAGTCAACTTTTGACTTTTGCTACAAACCAAAAAAAATGACTAAAAACCAACTTCCCAAAACAAGCCTAAATAAGCATATAAATCAGCATTGTAGGAAAGACCACTAGTAAACAAATAAAAATAAAACATGCTCTATTTCCACAGAAGCCAAGTATGAAAACAAATTTGTGAAACTTCAATCATTTCACAAAACATTCCTTTGAGCTTCCATATAACAAATCTATGCAACTAAAGATTTTTATTAGGTCCCTCTTCATATAATTATACATGAGTTATCCATGATATCGAGGTTTATTAAGCACTGCTATTTAAAATTTCAAAATACTGAAAACAAAACCACACAGAGACGAGAGAGCACATCCTAAAATCAATAAACCAAACAATTCATTGTCAGCTAGAACTTCAAGAAGCAAATATTAGCAATCTGGATCGAATATTACACTACCTTGATCAAACATAGGACGTCACGAACACCAAGTAAATATTCGCATCATATTTTTCTTGAAACAGAAACCTACGAAGACTTCTCGAGTGAGGATGAGAACTTCAACACATAACTCATAATTTAGGCATTCAAATTATGTAACCCAAAATCAAAACGAAAACTCTAATTCTAGAATCCCAGTAAGATACAAAATATTTTAAACAGCAAATTGATCTAAAAAATGCAAACATTGCACATTTAGTTACACCTTGCAAGGGTAGAACGAGTCCAACTTCCAAGTGTGCCTACCTCAAGTACCTCAAACAGATCAGAAAACTCAAAAGTAGACCTGGTCAACTGTCAATCTTCATCATCAGAGCTTCCCATGTCACTACTATAATCACTACTATCATCATCAATATCAAGCTGAACATGCCGAACTTGTATTGGTTCAGGTACTTTGGGTATTCCTTGAGCAGGAATAGGCCGTGGTGGTTGCTCCGCAAGGTCGTGGTTGTTGCTCCTCAATTCTACCAGCAATAGGGAGAGTATCCAATGGAGGCAGCGGAATTGGGTCACCAGGCTTCCAGCCAAGTGGAGGCATCATCGGTAAATCACTAGGCAATTCCACAGGCATCCCAGGCTTCCATCCAGATGGAATCACAAAATTTGGAGGAATCAGACCCTGAATTCCAGTGAGATTAGCAAGTGGATTCGAGTCTGGCTGTTGTGCAGGAGGAGCTTCAATGAATGGCTCAATTGTTTTCTCCTTGCTTTCTGCTGATTTAGGTAAACCAACATCGAGATCAGCAAATGCATACAACTGAGAAGCGCGCACTTGCTCCTCCTGTGGGGCAGGTGGGAGTGCCCCACGCAAAGGTGCCTGCCCAGCACCAAATTCCGGCGGTGCAAATGTTGTGTAGCTTATCCTGTGGGCATATGATAGAATGTCAGATAAATTCAGCTGAGCAGAAATAGTTGTGGTACAAGAATCATCCGTATCATCTTCTGATTTTGATCTTTTGGGGCGGCGATAATCAGAATAATCATCGACGAGAATGTCAAGAATCCGTTCGGCTTCTTTAAGTTTGTTAGCGAAGGAAAGCATTGCGGAATATTTTGACCTGATTTCACGAGCAACTTTCTGCTTAGCATCTTGAAGATCAAGAATTTCTTGAAGTTCTGCAACAGCTTCGAAGAGCTGAGTTTGAAGGGTTGTAAAAAGGGAGAGGATTTCTTTGGTGGTGGAAGGCGAGGAGTCTGGTTGAACTGATGTTGTGGATTGGGTTTGTGATGATAGAAAGGTAGGAAGGGAGCCACGGAATGCACTAAGCCAATGAGACCTATTGGGCGAGACCTCAAAGAGCCGAGATGCAAGGAAGGCCATTTGAAGGAGAAGACATTGGGCTCTAGAGAGAGGCGGAAGTAGAGGAAGAAGAGTTGAGGAGGTGGTCGTGGCTTTTGACAAATTCGATTGTTGATTGGGGAGCTGAGGCTGTGGGAGTTGGGAGGAGGATTTAGGAGGGGTAGGGTTTTGTAAAGAGGGTGAATTTGGGTTTGGCAGGCCTAGTCTGGCTGGTGATTGTACAATTTGATGTGGGACATTTTGCAGCATTTTGAACTTCCACTCCCTTTCAGAGAAACCTAAAACAACAATTAAGAAGAGGAAAGGATGGTCAATGCAACCTGAAAATATTAATGAAAAACATCAAAACGTCCCACAAAAACAATGATAATTGTAGAAAAGATAAATGAGCTTTTTCCATCAGACATTCCCCAGCAACATAACAGACACATACAATTCCTATACACATGGAACATAAAAAAATCATCATTACATACAAGGCTTCATTTGTAAGAAATATACTAATGACCCAGTAAGATGAAATTATCCACACAAAAAAAAAAAGAGATGAAAATAGAGCTACAAGCTCATAGTATACTCAGTTACTTCAGAGTGAATAGAATTATCTTCAAATTCATCCAACTAATATGTTCTTAAACTGTTACTACATTTGAATAATTGGCACAATAAAACTATCTATATAGGTTGAAAAGATTGATCAGGAGGCCACAACAAAATGGCTCAACAAGAATGCAGGCAACATAATTGATTTTAAAATGCAAACATAAAGAGGGTAAAAAGAGGAAGAAAATACAACAGCACTGTTTATTTTCTACGAAAATGTGATAAAAACATATATATTCATGACCATGAAGCAGAAATAGAAACAAGGTTGGCTACTACTAGCCTACTAACAAGTACAAAGGTTGACATAACTCTTTTTCATGATACATAAAATAAAACCCTAGAGAGGAACTTCCATAAATTAATCTATTATTTCAACCAAAAAAATATTTAGTGCAATAATGGAGTGAAAATATCTTGAAAGATGTACAGATTAGTTAACCCCTTGAAAGCAAACACTCCATTTCAAGCCAAAAAAGGGAAACAAATAATTCTGTTCGCTTATTTTTCACAATATGTTTTCCGTTTTTTTTTATTATTATTTAAACAGAAACTGGTTTGACGAAAATAAACAGCAACAATATATTTTCACCCAAAAACAGAGAACCATATGAAAATAATGACTTTTTGATTTTTCTCATTTTTTTCAGCAAACTATTTTTTTTTTTTTCTCAAAAAACATATATTGAAAACAAAACCAAACAAAGATAAGAAGTACCCTTTTTTATGACATTATACATGATCTTGTAATAAAATGTGATCTTGACCTATTCAACCAAGCTGAAAATCCAAGCAATCCAAATTGAAACTGACCTATATTTCATTCTGAAATAGCAGCAATAACACCAAATGATGTGATCAATAGTGACAACTAAATTTAATATAGAGTCAAAATTTTAAAAATTCTCAAGATGACAATGGGACAAGAAAAAACATTTATGAAGTTATAGAAAACAACGCGCTCTAGCAAACAAAATAGACACTAAGCCATCAAATTACATTATTCAGTCCTTTCAAAGCAAAGCAAACCAGTCAATTACAAATGGGGGATAAAAAATTACAATCTTGAAAAAGAACCATCACATCCCACTAATGCCTGCACAAATCAACATTCATCTCACCATTATTTTTACTGAAATACAATTATAGATAGGGGGTGGGCGCGGATCGGTTGCGGGCGCGGATCGGTTGCGGCCACGAAACCTCCAATCCACCATCCCATCTGTCCGCCAGATTGGCGGATTGGAGAAAATCAATCCGCATCCGTCCGCCAATCCGGCAGATGTGGATTTGGCGGATTGGCGGATAGATACGAATCGGTTTGGCGGTTTGAAATTTTACAAATTTTCAACATACAAAAAAAAAAAACATATGTATTTATTAATCAATACATGAAGGACTAATATGAACAATTAAAAAAACATGAACAAGTAATACTATTACATAATAC